GAATAAATAAAATCTTTAAGAAAAAGGAAGAAAGAGGGAATACATGCTTCATTTTCAAAACTGCTAACTCCATTAAAACCTATACATTGGGATCCCTGGGTGGCGCAGCGGTTTAGCGCCTGCCTTTGGCCTGGATCCTGGAGACCCGGGATCGGATCCCACGTTGGGCTCCCGGTGCATGGAGTCTGCTTCTCTCTCTGCCTGTGTCTCTGCCTCTCTCTCTCCCTGTGTGTGTGTGACTATCATAAAAATAAAAAAAATAAAATTCCCCTGGCTATTCGGGGTCTTAAAAAAAAAACCTATACATTGTTTTGAAATTACTATAATAAAAATGCTTTGAAAATAAAGAACATCTTTTGTTTGGCAAGAAGTAAGCAAGGTAGAAAATTTATCAAGGTATTAACTTCAGTGCTTGCAGACACATGATAAATTTTCTCCTGTTTTTTCAACAAATATTTATTGAGCTCCTTCTATGTGCTGCTATTCCCAAGATAGCCCCTGCTGTATACTGATATTAGAGGATTAATGGTCAGCAAAAATAGATACTGTCCATATCCTGAGATAGAGGGATAGATACAGTAATCAAATAATCACACACACATTTACACCGATTTAGAACATTGACAGGGCATTATATGATGCTCTGAGATTGAGTTGAGACTTAAACTGAGACTAAATGAGAAGCAGGCATTAACTGAGCAAGGGAGGGAGGAGAGCGTGCTCGGCAGAGAAAATAGCATGTGCAAATCTGTGGCAGGCAAAAGCATGGCCTGTTCAAGAAGTGTGGCTGAAACAGAAAAAGACAGAGGGAGACTGACGATGCAGTGAGGCCAGAGATCCAGAGAGAAGGCAGACTAAGCAGGGCCTCATAGATAATGTTAAAAATTTTGGCCTTTATCCTAAAAGCAGGGTGTAGGTGGAGTAATTGGATTAGCAATTTAAGATCACTTCAGCTGCAATGTGTTAAATAGGTAGGGGAGCCAAGGAATAAACGCCAGACCGTTAGCAAACTACTGGAATAGTCAAGGTAAGAGATGTTAAAAGATTGTTTGGGGATTGCAGCAGCAGATGGAATAGCAATATACACAATAAGAAAATATTTAGAAGGTAAAATAAAGAAGATATGTTGATGAGCTAGATGTGGAGGGGAGGGGAAGTGGGAGGAGTCATGAATGCCTCAGGTTTCTGATCTTTGAATCTGGTGGTGTCATTTCTTTTTTAATACAATTTTCCTAATTTCAATATGTTGTATTGCAGTAATCCTTTATTTAATTTAATTTATTTGAGAGAGAGAGAGAGAGAGATAACAGAAATAGTGAGAAGAACACAAGCAGGGAGGAGAAGGAGAAGCAGTCTCCCCACTGAGCAGGGAGCCCAATGAGGGGCTCGATCCCATGACCCCAGCCAAAGGCAGACACTAACTGAGATGCCTCAGGCACCCCTGTATTGCAGTAATTCTATTTAACTATCCCAACTTACCAACTTTGCAAACTTAAAAAAAGCCCCTCAGTAAATGCACTAATTGATCAAACTAATCAATTATAACCATGCAGGTCTTTATCTCAACTACTGTTCCTACAGTGAAGTACTGATGGCAGCTCTTACCAGACCTCAAGAGCCAATTGTTAAATTTTCAAGAACCTTGCAAGTTACTTGTAAGTAGCTTGAAAATGACCACAGCGAGAGGACCAGCTGCGGAAACTGGAAAAAATTACGGAACCAGCAAACAACTTAAATCAGAGATCCATCCACTGCAACTCCCACCCCCTACTTTCCCGCCTCAACACATCCTACTGTTAAACATTTACCAGCACACCAATGTTTGTACCTTTTAGAAGTTATGATACTTGGGGTGGATATGCTGCATATAGAAAATACAGTCATGAGACTAATCTCACTGATTTAAAAATGCTGCCTGTTTTTTTTCCATGTTCTTAAATGTCTTGTCTTTAGGATTGTTTGAAACCCATCTAATTCATTGCTAGATATTTTGGATATTTCCACAGAATTTCATTTGTGAAGATATGCCACTCTTAGGCATTATTCTAATGATTTTTACTTTTTCCTCTCCTTTAGATTGCCCAGATTAAGAAGTGCTGTGGTAAAGCAGCAAAATTTTAGTAATTATTGAATCTAGTTATAGGTGTATAGACGATTATCGTACTATTTTTCTTTAATTTTGTGTGCACTTGAAGTTTTTCCTATTACAAAAAGAAGGAGGCTGTAGCAGCCACATCTTGCCCAGACTAGTCCCTTCCTGGGTCTTCCACTTACAGTCTCAATCCCAGCAGGTATTCTAGGGGATCTGAGGTGATGTGATCCATTGCTGCCTCCCCACCTGGCCTCTAAGAGTTAACCAATTCCTTGTTTTCATTAAGTCTTGCAACACCTACTTCCCTGAAAAACCGACAAGCAATCTGTAGAAAAACTTAAAGCAAATCTTCAGAAAGAACCATATCAGATTAGGGTACTTTCTTTGTACTACAACCACAAAAATACTGAAAAAAAAAATCCTAAGTAACAATAGAAAACCCCAAGTACATTGAGTACATAGATTAAAAGAGATTGGAAGAAGTAAAAAAGAAAACAAACTTTAACAAAAAGTGAAAAAGGAGGCCAGAAATGGTATCAACAATGCAAGACACTGGAGGCACAGAAAGAAATGAGGCACTAGAAGAAATACAAACTAAATCAAATAGTCTTCAGGTTCTGTCTAAAGAGAGAAGGGTTCGATCTCAGCCAAAAACAAGATTTTTTTTCTTTTATAATGTAAAATATTATCATGGAACACATAAAATTATGAGAAGCTGAAAAACATAAAATTCACCCAATCATAGCACATCAGTGAAGAATAAAATAATTTAGAAATGAAACACAAAAACTAAGGAAAGGGGTTAACAAATACATTATAATTCAAGACAAAATTATCAGTATCAAAAGGAATCATGTAAATCCATTTTATGGATTAGAAAACTGAAGCTCACGAAAGTGAGTTGGTCAGGGTCATTCAGTTTAAGTGACGAAGCCTGGATTTGAACTCCCTGGATTTCACTTCTCTCTACACTTCTCTTTGTTTTCCCCACTCTTTTTGATAGAAATGCAAGTCTAAAACTAATTTTAAAATTATATTTAAATATAGTTCAATAATAATTGTGGCTTAAAATATAGACTTAAAAATGATGTCTTATTTTTCTACTACTTCATCAACGATCCCCTGTTCTACATTAATTTGCTGTACTATGGGGAATGATCACCTTAAAGTCCTCTTGAAATCATTTTATCTGCTATTACAAACAAAAATTAGATTTTTTCACTCTTTCCTTCCTTCAATAAATACTTTAAGTTGTATGTATGTAGACTAGATAATAGGCATTTTTAAAGGAAAAATATTTTTATATATTGATGACTGAAATGATCAAGCTTTGGTTTCTACTAAAGGAATCTCAGTTTGATTCATATATTTGAAGAATGCCTCAAAACTTGCTCAAATTCATTGGCTCTTTTGGCAGGTGACTTTTGTCTTCTAAGTTTACTTTCTTCTGGCATAGATAGCATACTTAATGATATTTAGGACTTTCTTTTTATTATGTCAAACCCTATACCTAAAGATTTTTTGTTATATGAATAATTCTCCATCTTGTACCTACAGTGAGCTAATAGGTCTTCAGTAAACATGCCGGGGCAGCAAAGAAAAGAGCTGGAATTACTAAAACTGAGAAGATTGGGGAAAGGCCCTGTGGAGTTGAAACTCAGATTTTCAAGAATCCATCATTTCTCACCCAGTAGTAGTGTCTCTGTGCTCAGAGGGGGGAACCCCATAGAACTAAGAACAAGATATCTGAGGAATAGGTGCCCACAAATTGGATCTAGTGTCTCAAGATGGCACATTGAGATTGATTCTGCAAGTGTTGGGAAATCCCCTACTTGAAACCAGTGGCTGCTGGTGGAAGAAATTTCTACTACCAGAGTGAAGAAGAACTATTGCTAGAACAAAACTGACAGCACCAACAAACCCACCAGAAGTACACAAGAGCAAATCCCTTCTTTTTTCTCCAGCTGTGCAATGTCTCATTGATCCCTCTATTGGCAGAGATGAACAGGAGCCAGAAATATTTGTAGAATTTTAAGGATTGGTTTCAAGCTGAGAGACAATAGCTCAGTAACTGGCATGAAGGCCTTACTTGTAATAAGATTGAGAGGTAATAGAAATAGTAAACTTTTTTGGAAATAGTAAACATTTTTTGGTGTGTGTATTGGGTACATATGGATTTTTTTTTTTGGACATTTTCTTAGGAGCAGATCCTAGATTGACTTTGGATTTATTGTACAAAATTATTCCTATTTGAAAACTATGTTTCTCTTGATGAGATTAATAAGCTGCACTTAGGACATTTCTAGAATTTGGACAAGAAACTATGAAAGGGCCTACATTGAGGTCTCCCTAGTTAGGGCTAAGACTGAACAATCACAGCAGTGATGGCTTAAGGATTGCTCAATACTTAGCAACAAGACTCTCTCAAGTCAGCTGAGGCTACATTCCTTAAAATCTCGCTGTCAAGGGAATGGACTAAAAAGCTTACTTACACAAGATGGAGCACTCTGGGTCCCTGGCTTGGAGGTTGGTAGGAAGGTTATTTTGAAATCATGGTAAAGGATAAGGGCAGTATGAACACAATTCCTCTTTTGTAATCTCAGGAAACTAGAAAATGAATGGAAATAAATCAGCTCCTTTCCAAATCTCTAAATCAGTGTTCTGGTAGTTGAGGGTCCAGTGTCGATTCTACAGAAATCAATAAATCAGTGCTTTCCATATTCCTGAAAGGTAGGCACAGACATGGTTGTTCTATAGGTCAATCAAAAGGAACATTCCCAAATATTTACTGAATGATTATCAGCCCAGAGAACTATGAGATAGTCATTATTCTTACAGACCTTCACCTATTTTTCATTTTATGTTTATGTTTGTTTTGTGGTTTTTTGTTTTTGTTTTTGTTTTAAAGGATTTTGAAGAATCACAAAACCACACTGGCGAGCCTGTTGGAGATGACTACAAAAAGTTGGGAACACTTTTTGGTGAATTGAACAAAAGCCTCATCGACATGGGCTTCACAAGGATGTATTTTGGAGAAAGAATTGTGGAACCAGTAATAGTCATTTTCTTTTGGATTATGCTGTGGTTCCTTGGCCTACAAGCTCTTGGATTAGTTGCTGTTCTTTGCCTTGTCATTATTTATGTGCAACAGTAAAATATGGCCGAATAAGCTGTTGTTTGACATCTGGTAGCCATATATGTGATTAGTGAAGTTATATATTTCACTACATGGAAGCCGAGAAGTTTGCCTTGTTTCAAATTGTGTGCTGTTTTGTAATTTGTAAGTGGATGTTGTTTAAAGTTAAACTCAACTCTTGATTATAACAGGGTTGAAAATATATTTTGTAGCTTATTCAAGTCTTTACTACTGTGATCTGTGCCCACTTTTAAACACCCCTCCCTTATTCCCATGCCAAATCTTAACACCACCAAAAAGTGAGCAGGGAAAATAGCGGGATATGGAATTCAAACTGGGCAATATAGGTCTTGAAAGAATTCCAAAAAACATTTTAGAAGAAAAAAGGATGAAACAAGGAGCTAAAAAATAAGTTTTAATGGGAGAATTGCCCCCAACCACACCCACCAAATAACCCCTTATTATGAGAAATAATTTGGATGTCCATTGTTCCTGCTCAGCCAAACCAATATAAATGGTGATTATGATACACTACCTTAATATTGTGATGAAAATCAGTAAAGCTAGCACATTTTCTGAAGATTGAAAAGGATATATTTATTATCACTGATGAAAAGTATATGTAACTTTTTTATAATGCAATATTTGGGCCTCAAATCACTTCAGTACATCATTTGAAGTTTTAGACAATTTTGGTGCTAATTACCTTTTGTGAATTTTTTAGGTCTCATAAGCCTGTCTATTGCTGGCTGCACCCCATGGTAATGCTATATTTTCTTGTATCTAACAAGTTATGTATTTTTTTTCTAGAGAAACATTTTCCATGTATTTTTTCCAGAAATTTACATTTTATAGTTCTTTTATAACAATTATCCTAAGATTTAAAAAAAAAATCTCTTTCCTATCTTGGCATGGATATTTCCCCCCAAAAAATTGATTTGTATTATGGCTGAAATATTTTACTATGCCTTTAAGGAAAAAAAATCATTTTCTTTCACATCTCTATTGGAAAGTACAGTACTACGGTATATAACCAAATGCTTAATGAAATTTAACAGCCAATGTAATAGTATTCCTCTAAGGCTAAAGCCAAATCATTAATTTACCAGTCATGTTATTAATTTGTCTTAATTCAGCACTTTGGGGTTTTATATTTCTTTGAATACACTTTAAAAGTAGAAAATGGCTTAGTGATATTTTGGATTTTGTTAAAGAGCCTAAAATCTGTACACTTGTGTCTCAGAGTCCTTCTATATAGACAAAGGAGGAGTATTAAAGATAATTATCTAGAAATTCAAGTTATAAGAGGGAAATGGGACAATTCGGTATTTTTATCTTTGGTAGCGCAGTTACTAAAGTATATGAAGTGTTTAATATTCTGCTTTGAAAAGTTTTTACCCAATCCTGTTTTAAAAATTTATATGTTCTCAGTGTCTTCCATGCTGAGGCAGAAAACTGATGAAAAATGTTCAACTTAAATTTCTAAAATCAGATAACCCCTGAACAAAAATACCAATTGAAGGGCACTAAAAAGTATTGTGAATTTGTATAAATACAGACCTTTTAAAGTTTGACAAAAGAGAAAGACTTTGTACTATATCATTGTGTTTTTATTGGGTTTGAAATATTTTGATAGAAACCTTTATGAATTTGGCATAAGGGCAAGCTATTTGAAAAGGTGTCTTCATTCGTGCACAGTAGAATTGAGAGGTTTTTAATAGAAGTAATGAGATTTTATATATCTGCATTAAATATTAAAAAGTGCACTCTTTTCCAATGCTACCAAGAATTTTAATTTTTCCTTTGGAATATAAAAAAGATACAGTATGCATAATAATAGCTCTGATTCCACCAGTGCTAATATTGAAAAAAGATGTTTAAGTTTGAATAGTAATGACTTAAAGTATACTGTCAATACTATGTATCTGCACTCTGCTGTTAATAGGGTATATATTAAATCACATAAAGAAATGAGATATTTTGCTGCTATTCTTTCTAAAATTTTTATTAGAGCAGTATACCATCAAATTGTTTGCTTTGGTAGGGAAAAAAACAAACTTTGCTTGTTTTATAGAAATAATATATTTTCTTTTATGAAATATATTAGAATGTAGATTATACTTGTGCCCTGAAATGAAAAGAAACTGGTCATTTCTTTGGTTCATGGTATAAGAAATTAGATGGAAAATGGTTCTCAGTCATTTCAATCTCAGATTCAAGCCAGTTTTAGAAACTGTTATTCCTTATGAATAAGGACATAGAAGTTACAATGCTAAGATTATTAGATTATTAATGTATGCATAATTCATATCACAGTTCTCAATTAAAATAGAAAAGGTTAAAATCTACAAATAAACTGGCTAGAGATGAATAAGTTAATTTTCCTTAAAGTAGAAACTCAGTGTTTTATAGAATTCAGTCCTCTCATATCTTAAGCTGTGATATGCAAGGTATTTTCCCATTCCTGGCCACCAGTCAAATCATACTTGGTCCAGTAGTGTACTGGAGCCAGCTTGCACTTACTTGCAAATAAAAATTACACATACTTTCCCCCTAGTCCTCCTTCAGTGGCATCAGTTGGTAGCTTGAAATGGTCTATGAGGGGAGAATTTATGCTACCAAAATTGGCAAACACAATAGATCAGGGTCCTTTTCTCCTAGCAAGCCAGTTGTTAAACATATGTCTGCATGCCACCTATTAGCCACTCTAGAGGTCACATCCCTATTTTGACTTCCACAGATATATAAGGAAGCATATTGAGGCAAATTCCCATCAATCCATCCAAAACTGTATTTGGATCTTTTCCATGTGGTAATTATGAATTATGGTTGTCTTCTAACCAACACAAACACATCTCTATAATCACATGTTTTGATCAGAGAAAATCTCTCTGGGCTGTCACTGAGCTGCACATTCATTAAAGGCTATCCAGATGATCAGGAAATAAACAGTTACAGAACTGATGGAAGGCATATTACAGCATAAAGGTTTGTTGTAAAATAGAAAGCTCAAAATAGTCAAAGCTAGGTATTGAGCAATCAAGGGCTGTTTATATGGTTTGTAGAGTATATTACCAGTTATTTTATAAATGTTTACTGATTTCAGGTTATTTTAAATGTTTTTATTGGCAATTCATGGCTTCAGAAGGTCAGAAAAGAGAAAACAATAAGACTTTCATACCTGTTAATATTTCCAGTAATAGACCTGGCCAAGGAGAATATAAGGAAAACATAGCCTATTCTCTCATCACCCTACACATTGCCTTGGACAATGTCACCACCCCAATGGCTTCAGCTACCATTGCAATCTGTATCTTCAGTTGAGAATATAAAATCCACACATTCAATGCTTGCCCAACATTTGTACCTGCCTATCCCTTAGTACCTCAGATCTGGTATACATAAAATAAAAAGGAACTCAGCATCCTTCTCCCAAACCTTCTTTTTCTTCCTATTTTTCCAATCTCAGCAAATAACAATTGTCTCCTACACTGCCCACATATAACCAGTTGACAAGTCAGTCCTGTCTATTTTACTTCCTAAAAAACGTCTTTAATCTTTATGCCTCTCCCAGTGATTCCCAGTATCACTAACTTAGTTCATACCACCATCATCTCCCTAGATTGCTATCACAGGATCTTAATTGATCTCCCCTGCCTTCATTTTTCACTCTATAATCAGAATACTCTTTCTAAATCATGATTCTGATCTCCTTGGCCTAAATCTTTCCAATGGCTTCCTGTTTCCATTATGATAAAGACCTTACTCCTTAATATATTTTACAAGGTCCCTCTGGTTCTTGCATGCTTCATCTCTCTGTACTACTACTGTCCCTTTCCAACACAGCTTTACTGAATTTTTTTTTCAGTTCCTTGTGAGAGATGTGCTTACTCACTTCCAGAACTCTGTACCTGCTTTAGCTTCTCTCTTTAACCCCACCCCCAAACTGACTAACATATCCACAACTTTAAGACCTTTAGACATAATGTCCCCCAGGAAAATTTCTCTGATTAAGTCCAGTTTGATATTTCGTGTGTTTTCAGAGAACCCAGCACTTCCCCTATCAGCACTTATCATGCTGTATTGTAATAGCTTATTTGTCAGTTTCTTCCTTTTTTAAAAAAGATTTATTCATTTATTTGAGCGAGAGGGCACCTGCACACACATGCACAGGAGTGAGGAGGGGCAAAGGGAGAGGGAGAAAAGAATCCCAAGCAGGCTTAGCACTGAGCATGAGCCCAAGGCAGGGCTCTATCCTTCCAACCCAAGATCACTACCCTAGCGGAAACCAAGAGTCCACCACCCAACCTACCAAAGCCAACCAGGCACCCTTGGCAGCTTCTTCCTTTAGACAATAGGCTCCACAAGGGCAGGGAACATTTCTATCTGGTTCATAAATTGCATTGTCTAACACAATGCCTGGCACATAATACATGCTCAAAATATTTGGCAAATTAATAAATCAACTTCATTTATTCATGTACTTCCTGTGGTGCATTAACAAAAATTTAGCATTGGTTGTATTTTAGAATTCTTTCACTCCAAAAGTATGCTTATAGTGCATAAAGAAAGTGAATTGATGTATAAATTATCATTTATGAGGTTTATTCACTTTTGATGGAAGAATATTGCTATTATTTGCATATGCAGTATTACTACTATACACTTGCATATTTTTAGGAGACTATGTATTTTCAGTGTTGTACTTAGTGGAATCACTATTTCTTCAGAAGGAATATTTTAGAATGCATATGGTCACTGATGCTACCTAAATTTCATATTTTTCCAGTATTTTTCAATATGGACTTTTATCTACTAAATTTTAATTTTAAAAAAAAAAACTCAGAAGTTGTGATCAGGAACTCTCAAGTATCTAAGCTTGGGTATTTCACGCTGCAGAATAAATCCGCTCTAAAATGTTTTAGTCGCCCAGATCATATATGTTAAATAACATGTATATAAAGTACTTTGTTATTTTTCCAATAAATAATACTCTTTCACAACCCTGCATCCTGAGTCTCTCTTCTGACTCCCGATATCATGTTCTCTGTATCAGCTAATTACTGCCACATCCAGTTCGGAAATTGCTAAAGCAACAACGTACCTGAGCGTGAATCATCCCTAATGCTGCAGCAGAAAGCTAAGGCCTGATGTGTGTATGGCTTCCCAGGTGGTAGGAAAACCTAGCTCGAGATCAACCTCTGCATTCAAACTGTATTTCTCCTTTGTTGCCTTGACTCTTGTGTAAGTTAGAATTAGTGAATGAGCTCTGCAGGGACCTGCTAAGATCCAGAACTTAGTCATACACATGCTTATTAAATTTGAGTTATATTTTCAGCAGCTTAAGTTTGATCATTTAGCCTTCTGCAACTTAATTAGTTGGAAATTTCCTTGATAGCTTTCCAATGTATCACAGAATACAATGAATTTTATCATAAGACCATGGTCCTTTTTTGTTATTGATTTACTCCTTTACTGCTTTATTACAAGAAACTACTTGATGGTATGTTTTTTAATGTGAATTGTTTCTTACAGAAGAATGAAAATTCTATTTACAATATCCTTATTTATACCCTGTTTTAAGACAAACTCTTAGTTATTTTTTGAGGTTAGGGGATGGGATATGTAAAAACTTCTATCAATATTTGAGTATATATGCCATCTACTGAATGCCCTTCTCTGGTCTGCTACAATTGCTTCTGTTGTATAGTTTCTTGGTTTTACATATGTAATACCAAAAATACCTACGATTTCATTATTTAGTGTATTTTCAGCTTTATCAGGCACATAAATATATATGTAAATGCAATATACAAATAAAGGCTAAGAAGAAACAGTTACAAAAGGAAAATACAGGGCTTAGCTGTTGGTTTGGAAGGATTAACTTACATTGATCTTGCATAAAACTATAATAATGATTTTTCATATAAGGTGAAGCATTTACTTAAACATTAGATCAGTGGCTTTCAAAGATTTTTATTTTGGTTTGCCCTAAGTGAAATCTTACATGAATAGCCAATATTTATAAATGATAAAAGCAGAGCTGCTATAATTGATTTTGCTGTAGGTCCAGTTCCCTGGGAAACAGACTCAGAAGAAATTAACATGCAGGAAGTTTATTAGGGAGTGCTCTGGGATCAGCAACTGTGAAGGAAATAAAAGAAACAGGGTTAAACAAAGGGAGTTACGCAATACAGTCACAGTAAGGCCTCAGAGACGCTATGGGGTGCCCTCAAACAGAGATAGCCCTTAATCACTGACCTATGTTGGGACAGGAGAGCTCTTCAGCCAAAAGCAGTTCCCAAAGAGAGCTGACAGCTGGGGCTTGTCATCTGGCAGCACTCCTAGCAGTTAACAGAGTAAATCCTTTGGCTTTAAAGAGAGGATCTGAGCTGCCCAATACAGCATCCACTATCCATTCTTGTTCTCACCTTGCCCTCCATGATTCCTGAGTCACTTTCAAAAAACCCCACTCTTCAGAGTACAATATGAAGATGACTAATTTAAATCATAAACACATCAATCAAGATGGATTTTTTAAAAAAAATACGGGTTGACGCTTTAGTCTGTTGTGTTGCCTGCTTCTACTGTAAGATTCAGGTCTTCAATTACAATAAAGTTTTAGTTGACTAAACATTATGCCCAGGATTCAGCAAAGGCTTGAAACTACTAGGAACAGGTGAACAAATGATTGACAGAAAAGCCCATTACTTAAAATTAGGAGTAGGAAATCCATTAGATATTGTATATATAAACTGTTAAGATGATCTATAAGCTAATAAGTCCCTCAGATAGGGCCTCACAAGACAACAGGACAAATCCTAATTAGGGTGTGTCTTGGAAGCTGGGTATGTTCAAGCCTAGATATAGGTAAGTTGACTTTGTGCTTTCTGGCCTCTTTACCAAGTTCCAAAGCAATTTTAATTCTCAATTTTTTGGAGCATGTTTAAAATAAGATTTTCAACAGCAGAGCA